GTTCATGTTACCCCAGTGTTACTGGTGAGTATCTGTCCTATGGTTCATGTTACCCCAGTGTTACTGGTGAGTATCTGTCCTACGGTTCATGTGTCCCCACTGATGTACAGTGCTACTGATATGTTTTCTTATATTTTTAGTGAACCATATATTTACATTTACCTAAAGAATCATTTATATAAATGACCCATTTCATAAAAGATTCTCTGATGTTTATGAAGTTTGTTGTCTAACCCAACAGATGGTAAAAGTGACTGCTGGATCTGTTACGATCCTGAGAGACAGGATGCGGGCCACCTCATACAGCCATGTGAGTGTAAGGGCGACATGGCGACTGTCCACCACGAGTGTCTCCGCAAGTGGCTCATGGAGGTCAGTAACAAAAACAATACATGTAGTATATATGTATTTAGGTACTTTATGAGTTGCTGGAATACTCAGGATATCATAATTTCAATGTTCTGTTTATTTGACTGGAAAAAACTGCAGTCCATAATATTTGTTTAGAAACTGCACTATTTTTTCTTTATCTTCTCTAATGAGAAAAATGACTCAATGTTAACAACAGATAAGAATTATTTGAGTGTCAAAGTGTGTTATTTCTGTAATTGCAGTGCTTCGAAGATGACAGAGACTTTAAATGCAAAGTGTGCAATGTCAAGGTAAGGAACTGAATATGTGATTGAGTGAAACGGATCATGTGATACAATAAAACTGATCATGTGATACAATAAAACTGATCATGTGATACAATAAAACTGATCGTGTGATACAATAAAACTGATCATGTGATACAATAAAACTGATCATGTGATACAATAAAACTGATCATGTGATACAATAAAACTGATCATGTGATACAATAAAACTGATCATGTGATAGAGTAAAACTGATCGTGTGATACAATAAAACTGATCATGTGATAGAGTAAAACTGACATTTCAAATTTTTCGTAGTGGAAAAACTCTGTAGCAGAATTTAAAAATGCTATATGTATGTATGATACATTTACAGTGATCTATTTTTGACAAGAAGTCATAGTTTATAAGGTTCTTTGAATGAATTACATTTGAGGAAGATGAAGAATATTTTGTTCATATCAGATATCAAATGTAAAGGAGACTTGGCAAGTACAAATACCATGTTTGTGTCTCCTTGCAAGAAATTGTCATAGGAAAAACATACAAATTATACCTATAAATAAACAAATAGTTTCCTTGGGGTATGTTAAAAAAAGCTTCCTTGGGGTATGTTAGAAATAGCTTCCTTGGGGTATGTTAGAAAAATAGCTTCCTTGGCCCTTGGGATATGTTAGAAAAATAGCTTCCTTGGGGTATGTTAAAAAATAGCTTCCTTGGGATATGTTAAGAAATAGAATTAACCTAAACAAAGTGTGACTTGTTTGAAATATTATGTTTTTCTTGTAGTACAAGTTACACATGGGGTCGATTTGGCTCCCAAAGGGTATGAAGCCGAGACACTGGGTGCAGACATTCTTCTCCTTAATCATCATGGTAGGCTGTCCATTTGCAGCCTATACCATTTCCCACACACTGGCAGTGACACAGACCTACATCAATGTCCTCATCATCGGCATCACACTGATTATTGAATTCTCCTGTCTAAGGTAAGCTTGCCATCATAGAATGTCTATGACCGCTCAGAGTGCATTCACGCTGTGGTTATATCTTTTTTGTATCTTTTTTTGTGCTAGTGGATTTTGAATTTGTTCCCTTTTCATATCAAATTTATGAAAAGAGTCTGAAAATTTCGTTTTTGTGAGACTCTACCGAGCTAAAAATAAAACTTCTAATCAAGTTTCATAAATCTCCTATGAAATGAAATCTAATTCAGGATCCTTATCATCAAATATCACCAAAGATATACCCCAGTATATAGATATATGTCAAATGTGTGTTTTCTCTATTTGACCATCCTCAAAACTTTGGTTTTTGGTATTATATTATTACTACATCAGTGTGATTAGTGATACATTACATGTAATGATGTCATTCTATTGTCTTAGTTCTGATGTCACAATATAGTTATATAGTCATTATATAGGGAATACACAAAATATCATATAGGTATATTCAATATTGTGTAAATCAATTATATGTACATTCGTCTGAGTTTGAAGCCTTTTTTCTAAGAGTTGTATTTTGGTGAACCATATAATTTGTTACAAAAATTCTGAACAATGCCTTCTTTAATTTTCTCTAGAATGCTGGCTCTCAACTTGGGAATTTGTTACAAACGGGGCCACGTGTCAATGCTGTCAATAGCAGGAAGAGTCAAATTGCCTCCAAAATCAAAAACTAACAGTGAATCAGACCAGATTGTACGACAGCCGTCGACTGGGAGTGACAGTGAAACAAGCACAGATGTCATATCTACAGAAGGCCAGAGTGTTACTGATGAGGAGAGGACAAACATCACAGGAACTCACTCAACCAGTTCCGGGAGCTGTTCCATGTCTATTGAGGTTGTGATTGAGAACCATCGACTGTGATCTTTCTTTGATCATAAACAGTGATAAATGTACAATGTCATTATCATGTTTCTCCTAAAATGGTCATTTGTACAATTCATGTTCAGTTTGTATGGGAAACAGAGAAACCTTTGGGAGGTCTGTCATCCAAAAAATAAATGATAGATTATCTCCTTTTATTACATAGCGTCAAATGATAATAACTGTTATTAATTGTATACCCATATCTCAGGTTCTTAAATTGTTGATATTTATTTTTTTTATTTTTTAATTTACTTAATTAGCAATTAGATGCAATAAGACTGCGGTGGCCGAGTGGTTAAGGCGTCTGATCGTCTACGAATTACTCACCCTCCAATCGCTGGGTGGCGGGTTTGAGGCCTAGATAAGGCAGTGGCCACAGGTCAGTGTTTTTTCTCCGGTTACTCCAGCTTTACTGCACCACCATTTAGGTACAGAGATGTAACAATATGTGTTCTGATTCAAAAGGAGTAAGGAATGGATGTTAGGGTGAGACAAATCACCACCAAATCTTCTGTCGTTGCCAATAAATCTGTCTCTACACTGTGTCAGGTACGTAGTAAAGCATATTAAAGAACTCTATCTTGTGTTGGTGACATGTCCCTCTACAGCAGATTGACCAATCAGAAAGAAGCTTTTGAAAGTCGGTCATTTGGCCCCCCATATTAATGCATCATAATAGATCTGTTTGCTGACAAGGCGGATGTTTTGGATAGTTTGTCAGGGTCCTGTTATCTCAATTTCATAGGTGAAATTTGGATTTTGATCAGAATTATTCATACAGATGGCGACTTGATGCATATTGAAATCTGTGATTATTTTCTGTGAATTAATTTGTTGAAGTTGTGTGAAATTCATATCGTTGCAATGACACTGTGATATTTGTGAATGCGAAATTGTCCGTTTGTAGTTTGGGATTTCACAACACACTGATCAGATTTCAGTTTTAAATCAAGGATCGATACTTACTAATTTATCTATTCAATAAATACAAAAATTTGTCAATCATTCAATTTGATCTTTAAAAGTATGCAATCCCTAATGGATTCCAACATGGTAGACTTTTGTATAGTTTGGGTAGAATCAGAAAGTGGCAAAGTACGATAGTCGCGGCTGAAGACCATAGCGAGTCGTGGTTCGTATCCAATCAAAACATGCTGACAAATCATGTTAGCATTACTTTATCAATATTCATTATATCATTTAAACTTTCATCGAGTCTAATGGCCATACTGAAATAACATTTGGGTATACTGTTGAAGCAATAAGATATAAACTATGTATATACATATAATTTATTAGAACAAGCTCAGATTTAAAGTGTTATGGTTGTGATGAGACAATATGGACCTGGTCCCTCTATATATCATGTACATGTATAATTTGACCTGAGCTAATTAAAGGAAAACCAGTTGTACATGTATTCCCTGTTCCCCCGACACAAATTACAATTAAATGAACGATGTTTGGCTTTATTGAGGTAAATGTGGGGCAATAATATCTAGAATAAATCCTGGTACACTACAGTATACTATCGAGATCAAGGGAGGAGGTATAATTCTATACAATGTACTCACTATTTGTATTTATAGATAAATCTGCAGGTGCTTCAGACACTGATATTTACAATGTCCATGATGTTTTATCTGTGATATGATTCTAAACAAATATATGTGTTCTATGCAAATAATATTTACTGTTCTGCTTTGAAAAAAGAGTGTGAAATTTAAATGAGAGGGTATACGAAATATGATTGAGTGGATACAAAGAAATTTGACGGTGGGACAAGATATGCTAAGGAAAAGATGTGACATGTGGTGAGTTGAAGTGTATATATATATATATATGAAATATGAGTGTGAGGATATACGAAATATAAGAAGGCGGATTTGAATGAAATATGATTGGGAGGATATACAAAATGAGTAGGAGGTTATGTGATTTATGAATGGAGTATATACAAAATAGAAGTTAAGAGAATATAAGAATTATGAGGAGGATATACTAAATATGAGTTGGAGGATATCAGAAATACAAGTGGACAGATATAGGAAATATGAGTGGGAGGATATACAAAATATGAGTTAGAAGTATGAGATAAGAGTGTTTGTAAGGAAGTATTGATATAAAGTGACACAATTCCTGCAACACCAGTTGATATTCTGAATAACAACTATTGTTTGATGTACATCTTTAATGCATCAAATGTGAAATCTGACTGACTTGTATGACACACCATTCCAGCTTAATAAAACAAGAGGCCCATGGGCCTTAACGGTCACCTGAGTCCTACAATATTTATTTTTGTTGTTGAAATATGTACCAATTTGAGTAAAAAATAGTATAATGTTAACTTAACTTTGTCAGGACCATGAGCTGATCATTCCTAGACCAATTTTAAGTGAGATCGGCCTATTAGAACTTAGTAGCAAAATAGCGGCCATGGCAGCCAAATTGTATTTCTGATTGACCCGAAAAATAACAACACTTTGTCAGGACCATGAGGCGATCATTCCTACCAACTTTCAGTTCAATCGGTCCAGCAGAACTTGACTTTAAGTTTGAAATAGGTTTTCAAAATGGCGGCCGTGGCGGCCATATTGGATTTCTGATCGACCCGAAAAATAACAACACTTTGTCAGGACCATGAGGCGATCATTCCTACCAACTTTCAGTTCAATCGGTCCAGCAGAACTTGACTTTAAGTTTGAAATAGGTTTTCAAAATGGCGGCCGTGGCGGCCATATTGGATTTCTGATCGACCCGAAAAATAACAACACTTTGTCAGGACCATGAGGCGATCATTCCTACCAACTTTCAGTTCAATCGGTCCAGCAGAACTTGACTTTAAGTTTGAAATAGGTTTTCAAAATGGCGGCCGTGGCGGCCATATTGGATTTCTGATCGACCCGAAAAATAACAACACTTTGTCAGGACCATGAGGCGATCATTCCTACCAACTTTCAGTTCAATCGGTCCAGCAGAACTTGACTTTAAGTTTGAAATAGGTTTTCAAAATGGCGGCCGTGGCGGCCATATTGGATTTCTGATCGACCCGAAAAATAACAACACTTTGTCAGGACCATGAGGCGATCATTCCTACCAACTTTCAGTTCAATCGGTCCAGCAGAACTTGACTTTAAGTTTGAAATAGGTTTTCAAAATGGCGGCCGTGGCGGCCATATTGGATTTCTGATCGACCCGAAAAATAACAACACTTTGTCAGGACCATGAGGCGATCATTCCTACCAACTTTCAGTTCAATCGGTCCAGCAGAACTTGACTTTAAGTTTGAAATAGGTTTTCAAAATGGCGGCCGTGGCGGCCATATTGGATTTCTGATCGACCCGAAAAATAACAACACTTTGTCAGGACCATGAGGCGATCATTCCTACCAACTTTCAGTTCAATCGGCCCAGCAGAACTTGACTTTAAGTTTGAAATGTAAAATGTTAACGGACGACGGACGACGGACGACGACGGACGAAAACGGATAGCAATATATTAATGTCCTAGGTTTACGTGATTGACATCGTGACATTGAAGCAGGAACACATAGTACATGTACATATCTACAATAAAATATTACATCAGATCAGCTTGACTGCAAAATCTAAATGTAACCTCAGTGAGGACCACATGGTAAACATGATGTTTACATGGGCCCCAGTGATACAGAACACATTATACATGATGTTTACATCGGCCCCAGTGCTACAGAACACATTATACATGTGTATAGTACAAGTGGATGAAGCAAGCAATATGGACTTACCATGAACAGTTACAACATGTTACATTTTTCACTTTTCATTGTAAGATTTACTTTAGAGAAAGTGTCCTTGAATGGACATATGTGACACAACATTTAGTATTGAAACATATTTATTTAAAGTTCATTAAAATATCTTCAACACTAAAAACAAAACTTACAAGATCACATTCAATATGTGAGGACGGACATTACAGTACAATGCTAAAATCAGCTATATCATTAGGGCAAGATATTTGTGTGATATCTTTCTTGCTGCTATTTTGTTCCATCCAGTTGGTGAATACAAACTAAGTTTATTCTATATCTAATACACAACTCAGAGGACACAATATTTCAAGCATCTATACATATTCAGATTTTTCTCTAGACCTATAAACACAATGATTACGGGTAGATATTTAGGGTCCTTGGCAAACATTTATGTGACAATAAATCTGACACACCTATCTATATATGTATAGTTTAAGGGAGTTACATATATCAACATAGTACTGTTTCAATTTCTTTTCAATAATATTGCACACTTCCAAATATAGCACACTTAAAGAAAAAAATATTTGGTAAAAACAAATACCTGGTAATTATATGTAAAACTTATGGAATACATGTTCAGGCAGTTTTTGTTAAAAAGAAAGAAAGAACTTATAAAATGGGCCAACTTTGCATAAGTTTGATTAAGTAATATTTGTGTTAATCATAATAAGCAATTTTTCTACATATTTTGCATAAATAAAATTTATAACTTTCATAACATATATTTACTTAAGACTAGCAGTAAAAAAAAAACTTTTTTTCAAAAGCATAACTAGTCTTAGTGACTTGAAAAACTTCTCCCTCAGAGCATCCTCGATATCCAGGGGTTACGCTCACTTTCGCTTTCTACACCCCTGGAATACCAGGTATGTCATAGCAAAATTGAAGGCACGAAGATAGCTGTTTGATTGGTGTCAGGTAAAACAAACTGATCAATCGCTAGGCTGATACCTGTCCTTTGAAGATTACAAAGGATGGACGCCCAACTTCAAAGCCTGTCAATTTTTACCGTTATGTGACCGTGAGATTCTTTTGATGTACATCAAAGGATCGAGCTATTATTCTTGTCTCATCAACAAGGTGGCGCACACCGAGCCTTCATATTTGCTATGACTTATTCTAGGGGTGCAGAGAGCGTTAGTGAGCGTAACCCCTAGCCCTGGATATCTAGGATGCCCTCAGAGTTACAATGACATCTATAACATATTAGCACTAATGATATGTACTCGACAATTGTGTATCATATTGTCAACCTGCAGCTAATACCAATCACAAGTACAAGGCAAACTATATAAGCTAGACTACACATTTGTCAGACCATTTTTTATCAATAGCAGACCAGCAGCTAATGACAAAAGCAATTACAGGGCACACTAGACTATCTCTGTCAGATCTTTCTTCATTGATGGCAGACTTACAGCTCCTAATGTCAATTATAGGGCAGAAAGAAGACTAGCGTTGTCAGATTTGTTTTCATCCATGACAATTAGGGCAAATAAGTCTATCTTTGTTTCAGACTCTTTGTCCATTGATGACAGTGAACCTTTTCTTCGGAATTTTATCAAACAACAAAATGCCTCCAGCTCTTTCAATGGCCTCCACAGGCACCATGAAATTTTTAATGGGAACACTATCAGGAATCACTTCATTTGGCATCACAAATGACATCAGTTCAAACTCTCCATGGAAGTTCTCTACAGCCACGACCTTGAAGAAATGTGTGGGTACAGCCACATTGTTTGGACCAATCACAGGATACTAAATTCACATACAACTTTCCATCTGCTTCCCGTCTGAAATGAATGTGTGGATTTTTTATTTTTCGATAAGTCAAATATCAAGACATTTTTTACAAATTATTGCACTCTTTCCTCAAACAAAGTACTGAAAATCATTCATGTTTTTGTGAACAATCATTTTCTTGAGTGTCATTTATGGGCTTCAGATAATTTGTTAATGATTTTTTTTTGCAAAATTACCAATAACAGGTACATGAATATGTAAATAAATATTTGCCAGTTGTTTGGATTTGCGAATGACTCCTCACAATCATCTTTTAACTGTAGCAGAACTAGACTGGGTATATTGTGGGGACCAGGTGGCTCAATTAGTAAAGTGTCTGTCTAGAGTTTGGAGGGTCCCGGGTTCTAACCTGGTCTGGCCATTCATTTTTCGGCTCCTGTTATATAACATTTAAATATGGATCTTGCAAAATGAAGGTTATTTACAGTAATAAAGGGTATGGGTCATTCACCTAGATTATACAAAAATCTGTTGAGATTTGATGTGTTGATTGTGATCTATTGGATTCCTTCCATCTCAATAAGCATGATCATAGGCTCATATAGCCTCAGGGTCAGCTCTTAACAGTAAAACATATTTTGTATAAATTGACACAGACACCACCTGTCACTTTGTTTTTTCCTGAACAGCTATCATTGAACATTGATATTCTGGAAAGGAAACTGTAATAGTTGAAATGCTACTTACTTGGGTAGATAGAGGGGACCTGTACAAACATACACATTCCTGTTCATTTTGGCAACACCACGAACAAACCTCTCCAGGTTATTCCACGCATCTCTGTTGAACCCTCTACCTACCTAAAAAGTAAAGCAGAGGTTTAAAGGTATGCAACATAAGTTTGTTCAAACATATAAATGTTTGCCAAGCCAATTATTTGCCTTTCAAGGTGAAAATTCATATTTGCTGAGTGTTAGTTTTGCCCTTCACATATACTTACTATATCTTGTACATATGCCTTGTACTTATATTGGCTGTTATTACCAGGTATAATTAAATTTGCCCTCAATAAGGGCGAAAAATGTTAATGTTAATATACTGCAAATATTTTTTCCAGAGTACATATGAATACACATATGATTTACTGTATTCCATGTATAAAACAATGAATAAAACTGTATCTCATCTTTCTGAGCATTTTCTTTCAGTTCATAACACATTACTTAAACAAGCCATCTTTCTTAATGTTGGAAAAGCCATTTGCAGGAACATGTAGTCATCTTTTATAAGGTTACTATTTCCGTAAAGTAATAAACATAGATCCAATACCACTCAGGATAATCCTGTTACAATTTGAATTTGATGCCATGTCATTACTCTAACAGTATGACTGAACTACCCAAAGAGTTTCTGATTGCAAAACATTCATGTAAAATAGTTTTTGCTGTTATTGGTTTATAATGATTTTGGTGGGTTGGTTTATCTGCAGGCTGTGCTGGACTGGGTCAATCAACGATGACCAGTTAGCTAAATTGGTTTAAGCTTTCATCTTGAGATTGGATCACATGGGTCTATGTACGTGTATCCTGGTATGTCCATTCATTATTCTCTCCAGTTACAGTGGTGCCTGTGACCAACCCTCGTTTGTAATGGCTAATGGGTGTATGATACCGGAACTTTAATTATAAATAGGGCTGTCCTCACTAGGTAAGACTTAAAAAATAGGAGGGAAGAATGTAGCAGAACTGAACTGGGTCTAGTGTCAGCGACCAGTTAGCTCAATTGGTTAGATTCATCTAGAGTTGGGAGGTCACAGGTTTGAATCCAAGTCTGGCCATGCATTTTTCCTCTCCTGAGTCCTGCTTACACAACTAAAAATTAATTATTACATTGTGGGATATGTATACATACACTGTAAGTTGGCAGTATATCCTACCTGGGGTGAGATATTACTCAGGGTGAATGTTTGGTCCATGGCATGTTGAGAGTGTTTGTGATTTGCTGCTGCAGCTAAATGTCCACGATCATATCCACTTGCTTTGTAATCATAATTTGTGGATCTGAAATAAGGATGGATTGAATAATCTTCCTGAAATGACGATTGGTCTCTATCTGTTTCATTTTTTCCACTGACATGTTCAGGTTTGATATGTTCGAACACCCAGTGAGCAGTTCTGTTTCTCCTGTCATAGCTCAGTACAAAGTTGTCGTAGGACTTTATCTGGTCCAAGCTGGGAAATCCGTATTTCATTATTTCAGATATCCGATTGGAAGGAGGCGTTGGAGTAGGAAACACAGTATTCGAAAATGAAGGGAAATCAACATTGGTCGGGGCTGCTGCAGACACTGTTGGTAGTGGTATGTAGTATCTACAGTTTCTACTTTCAGTTTCACCTTGTTCATTTTGACCTTTCCCATGTGTTTCATATTTTACGCCTGCACAAAACCCTGCTCCAGCTGAAAGTGCAGATAATGTGGTTAGCAGTCTGAATCGCTTCATGGCTAGTGACAACAAGTAAAATATACACTCAATATGGTCTTAACCCACTGTTTTATGTGAAGAGATAAAAATATGTCCTTCTATAGTACCTATTACATTTAACCGGATATGGATCTCCATTTGCCGGAAGTGTAGTGGACTAGTCCAATAAAAATAATAAGTCCCTGAAAATGTATTTCGTTTTCTTCCTGGATTGTTCACAATTTTCTTGAATAATAAATGCCAAGAAACGATATTTTATAATTATTCATTCTTATATGTGTACTGTTTGCCTTGAATGTTCGGGGTCCACAATTACTCTGTAAAATGGAACCCTCTAAATGTGACGTCAAAAAAAGATTATTAATAGACGTGGAATCCCTTCCTATATTGCACGATGGCGTCAACAAGCACAGGCAGAGGGTAAAGATTAGACTCTTTTCTGGGAATTTACACTATTATAATACATATTACACACCAAAATTCTGAAAGCATGTATAAGTAAACCTTGTGTAGACTTTTAATGAATCCAGTGCTGATCAGTATCCCATTTATTGCTGATGGTGCAATATTGTCAGATCTGCACAACGTACGGCGGATATGGTTAAAATTTGGGTAACAGTTACCTTTTTGAGTAACAGTTATATTACTGGAATGGGGAATAAAGTGAAACGAAAACACACAAAGTTCTTTTAAACTCTAGGAGCAGAGAGGGACGGCATCATTCTGTCAACATAATACAATGAGGCCGTTAGTACACAAAACGTTATTATGCTGATGTCTAAATTTTGGGTTCATTGACAAACTATAGTATAGGCGAATTTGTTATCACAAAACCAGTTTTGGTTTATAGTTTCGATTTAGAACTGGTTCAGCCATGGTTTCAAAACTGGTTTTGGTTTTACTGCATTTCAAACAAACATCTGGTTTAACATAAAAAAAAATGGCTTCAAAACAAATGTGTTCATGAGCACTACCCGTAATACTTCAAATTTTTCTCAAAGATAACGATGACACAGACGAAATCCTATGTTATCGGTTTCCGCGCACTTAGGAAGCAGTCGCAGGTTCATACTTATATCAGTAGAAAACTTGAAATTATGGATGACTGTCAATATATAGACATGGAAACAAAAAATACCAAAATAAAACTGTATTTTAAAAAAATTACAAATATTTTCAACAAATTTCACCCTGCATCTATCTTGATTCAGTGTTTGAAGAAAGACTTCTCAAATACACTTTGCTAGTTACTAGTTGCTAGTTGCTAAACCAATGAATCAATGATCTTTGATTGTCAAATTAATTATTGAAAACATTTTTTCAAAATTGCACATTTTTTTATTGATTTTTCAATATGTCAACTTAAACAAATTCATAAAACCTGTTGATTTAGTCATAATAGAAATGTCTGCACAGCAGAGATGGCCGTTTAATCGGTCGATATCTTGAAAAACGCCTCAGCATTCGCTACATTCTACCATCACGCTTTCTATCAACGCCATCTTTGATTGGTAAACCAATTATAAAACCACACCCAAGTGCGGTTTGTTCAGTTTTCCGAACCGGTTTTGGTTCATCTCTAACAAATGAAAAACCAGTTTGGTTTTCATTAAAAAATGGAAAGTTTACAAAACCAGTTCGAAACTAAAACTAGTTTTGCGATAACAAATTCATATCACTGACTGTTCTCTATTTGTGAACTTACCCCAATGAAAACTTTCCAAATGCTGGATTATTACCCACACATCATGTATGTGCCAATCCTGTTGTCTGGTTGTAAAGATAGATCAACTCCATTTTGGTAACATCTAACATATGATCTTAGTACACAAATTGTTCCTTTCCTATGATCACTTCCCATAAAATATGAGATTTGTCTGCTTTTAGTAAAATATGGGGTGGGGTGGGGGGCAGAATATTGATTTCGTTGTGCTTGTTCACTTTTAGGATCCCCCAATAGCTACCACTGCCAAAAACTGTACTAAGTATTTCAAACAGGTTTTTTTTCGGTATATATGACTGAAAAGAAAACTATACATTGCAGGACTTTTATGAGAAATAATAGATATAACATCAGTTTTCAGAGTGTAAAAAATCAGCGGGGCCGGCCCCAGACCAGGATTCAAACCCTGGACTTCAGATTGTTTTACCATGCTATCCCTCTAACTGATGGAGCTACCTGGTCTACATAAGTGGTCTACAGTTACATGTACCACGGTATATCCAAACAGAAGTTTAAAGGGAATGTTAATTTATATATGAAAAACCACACTGCAGTGGGACAATCAGGAATCCTTAAGTGAAATAGCTAACGGATATTAATACAAATATTTTAACACCGTTTTGAAATCAGAAATACATATCGGGTAGCTATATAAAGCACACTTGTAGTCATAAATTTAATGGAGAGATACCTTTGATACTCATAACGAAGAGCAATGTCATGCCAATTTGCAACCATTTCAGACTTTATCGACTTCATGAAGGTTCAAAGTGTAACAGGAAAGAGCTAGAGTAGTGTGCTTCCTCTAGGGATCAAACTGTAGACCCACAGCTTCCTAGTTGACAGCTCTACCGATCGAGCTAAAGGGAAATTGTCTCTAGTGCGAAGCTAGAAGACGACCGTAAATCCTATGTGCAATTAAAATCTGCCACACCACTACCCCCTTGTTAAATGTGTTCTCCCTCAAACACCACAACCCAGGTTTTAACTACCTGTCCCCACAGACAGTGCCACTAACACCATTTGTAACGGGAGAGGGAGTAATGTACTTCCACTGGGGATCTAACCTGCGAACCTTACCTTCCCAGTCCGCTGCTCTACCAATTGAGCTAAAGGGAAATTCCCACTAGCCACAAAAGTATTCATCCATAATACACAATTTGTTGTGTTGGATTTGCTATTTGTATCGGGGGTAATGTTCTGGTCACCTTTTAATGAATAGATGTTTTCTTTATCTTATATAAAGATATAAAAGAATTCATTGCAACATGAATGTGTTTGTGAAGCACAACCTAGAGTGATGTGATGTACTCCAGTGTCAATATGAGTAGGGAAAGCAAAATCTTTCTTATCATATATTTTCTTGTTCTGCATGAGACCATTAATTAAAATATGAAGCAACAAAAATCAGAAAAGAACCTTAAGTATATTTTCCATCTTGTGTCCCGTCCGTACATAAAAAAAGTGACGAAACTGTCCGATAATTCTGACCTTGTGTTAATCAAAGGTGGTGTAGATTGACAGTTTTTACTAGCATTACTAACGAATGTCTTTATCATTTGTATTTGTGAAAGGTTTGATTTGATGGCATGGAGATTTACAGGACAATCTGACCTACTGTTGAATTATGAAACTGTTCTATAATTTTACAGGCATAGAGCAGCAATGCTTCACTGTCACCAGCACCCGGATGCTCCCCTCGTGGAGGACTACCACGCTGGAGACATGATATGTCCTGAGTGTGGGCTTGTTGTTGGAGACAGGTATGTCATCATTCAAATTATTTTTACCATCAGCTACACATTTATCAAGAGTTGCATGTTCCAAAAGAAATACATTGAGTTGCTGGTGTTGTCTGTATATGATTAAAAAACCAGCAGATATATTTTGATGAATATTTAAAAAAATTTGTTGTGGGATTATTATCGATTAAAGAGTAAAAGTCAGAAGTAATTCATACAAAATTCTGTTGGACGAATTAGGTCTTATTTCTACTAGTCAGTCACTCCAGTTGAAAGATTTTGACTTCTGCCATGAATCAATAACTACGCAATGGATACTGTGATAGTAAATGACCAGTATACCTTGTTGACCCTTATACTGTCTTATCTGTACAGAGTTGTAGACGTGGGGACAGAGTGGAGAACATTCAGCAATGAGAAAAATACCAATGATCCATCTCGTGTGGGCTCAGCTGAGGTAGGAAACACTCCATACAAAAGTTCAAAATGTAGAAATATGTAGAGGTTCTCAAACTATTTCCCATTATGTAAGAGTGTTTTATATAACAAGCTTCAGGACAGTCAGATATAATGGAAACAAGTGGATACTTAGACTGTAACATCAGCAAGAAACACCACAAGTTTGGCCATAACCATTTGACTTTATGACATTATAGTAGTTTGACCTCCTTGTCATATCACAGCAAGTGATACATGTATTACACACATAGTGTGATTTTATTGGATGGTGTTATTACACTCCATATTAGCCTGAGTATATATGATTAACATACCTGTAATGTTTATTAGATTATTTTTCTTCTTCTTTACTTTGAGATGAAAGAACTTGGGACAAGTACAAGTCATTATATATAAGAGGACAGCTTTATTATATATGTATGTGTCCATTATGACATATGAAGATAGACTGGTTGTCCTTTTAATCATAAGAAACTACTTTGTGTAAATGTTTTGAAATTGTTCATTGTGATGGCATAATATCTTACATATTGTATAAACACTAATACCTGGTACATACTTTTTATTTCCGTTTCTTCACAACCTTATCTAATTGTGTATTTTCATCATTAATTTGCAGAATCCCCTGTTAGCTGGCAGTGACCTGTCAACCATGATAGCCATGGACCCCAAACAGGAAATGATGACGGATGAGTTTGGCAAGCCTATGTACAGAAATCGTAGAACGGTAAAATTACAATAATTTTAACATATAAAGAATCATCACATAAAGCTGGCCCATCAGCATAAAAAATAATGGAACTTAGCCAAGTGCCCATTAAACGATCATTAAAACCAGTTAATAATTTTAGTAGAAATTGGCCGGCGAGAGTATCTACTCCTGGTTGATCTGAATACTTGTACATTTTTATAAGGAAATAGATATTACAAGCTGTCCCTTATGGACATGTTCCCTTTTACTGTGGGTCGGTCTGTTTACAGGATGTTTAAATGAACATTAGAAGCAGTCAGTTATAGACAGGTTCCCTTTTACTGTGGGGTGTCTGTTTACAGGGTGTTTAAATGAACATTAGAAGCAGTCCATTATAGACATGTTCCCTTTTACTGTGAGTTGTCTGTTTACAGGATGTTTAAATGACACTAGAAGCAGTCCGTTATAGACAGGTTGCCTTTTACTGTGGGTTGTCTGTTTACAGGGTGTTTAAATGACATTAGAAGCAGTCCGTTATAGACAGGTTCCCTTTTACTGTGGGGTGTCTGTTTACAGGATGTTTAAATGAACATTAGAAGCAGTCCTTTATAGACAGGTTCCCTTTTACTGTGGGTTGTCTGTTTACAGGATGTTTAAATGAACATTAGAAGCAGTCCATTATAGACATGTTCCCTTTTACTGTGTGTTGTCTGTTTACAGGATGTTTAAATGACACTAGAAGCAGTCCGTTATAGACAGGTTCCCTTTTACTGTGGGTTGTCTGTTTACAGGATGTTTAAATGAACTTTAGAAGCAGTCCGTTATAGACAGGATTGACAATACATGTTGATTGTTATTGTGTTGCAGATCAATAGCTCCGATCGAGCATTAATCAACGCCTTTAGAGAAATCAACCAGATGGGAGACCGACTCAACTTGCCAAAAATGATTGCTGTAAGTCTTCTGTTACTCTTACTTCATTTTCAGATATTTAAGTTTCAGATATACTTAAATACTTCATTTTCAGATATACTTAAATAAACAGGGTGTAAAGAAAAGTATGCATAGCATTATGTGTCTATGGTTTGACTATTCAGACATATTTACTTTACAGTTGTTGAATCTTTTGTTGATCTGCAGAAGTCATGGGATTTATTTACTCATATTAACATTTGCTCAGCATCCTTCCATTGCAATGCATTGAGAAGGCAAATGTTGTTATGAGATTATAACAACATTTGCTTTTGTAACGTCATCAATCTGTATTGTGATGTCATCAATTTCATTATTGTTAAGACTTAATTTGCTGTTTTTTTAACTCGAAACAGTGGTTATGAATACTTACCATCACTTCATAAAGTAAAAGTTGTTTGCCTTTGTAATAGGATCGAGCAAACACGCTCTTTAAACAAGTTCATGAGGGCAAAACATTGAAGGGACGCAGTAATGACGCTATCGCATCAGCCTGCATGTATATTGCCTGTCGCCAGGAAGGTGTGCCCAGGACTTTCAAAGGTACAATTTCCAGACCATTTTTTGGAATTATAAGGATATTTCATTTCTAATGTCTTATTATAGTCATAAGATAAAGAAGTTGGATCACCATTACAGTGTGAAAAAAGAATTTGCTATTTTGAATTATGTTGCATACAAGTTTATATTCAATGATCAACTACCTGAGGATTTAATCATTTTGTGAACTGGACATTTGTTTCTGTAAAAGTTTCCACAAAATTAAAACTCTTTGTATAAATACCTGGTATTATTAGTATTAAGCCCAAAAAGCCTCTTAAAATCGTCAAACAATCCTCAATTCACTTATGGTATATTTTAGAAATATGTGCTGTGTCAAAGATATCCAAAAAGGAGATTGGTCGAGTGTTCAAACTGATCCTGAAGACACTGGAGACAAATGTGGCATTAATTACCACCGGGGACTTCATGGTATGTAGCAAATGTTCTCTAAAAAGTCATAGATGCAATTTGGAGTTATTTTTGAGTGCCATAGCTATTAAATTATTTCAAGAGCTACTGCATTAAACAAATCATTTGTATTTTTCAGTCCCGATTTTGTTCCAACCTTGGTCTGCCTCTATCAGTTCAGAAGGGAGCGACTGTGATTGCCAGGAGGGCGGTGGACATGGACCTAGTGGCTGGGTATGTATCTAATCCTCAGTAAGACAGTTAGTTTGGCCTCACCAGACCAGACAGAGTTCTGTCATACTATGTGGGATGTATGTCTATTACAACATAATAGTACATTGTAACAGTATGTGCTATATCAGTAGCTGTGTTTTCTTTAGTTACAGGCGTAGTCCAATATCAATAGCCGGGATTACTTTAGTTACAGGCGTAGTCCAATATCAATAGCTGTGTTTTCTTTAGTTACAGATGTAGTCCATTATCAGTAGCTGTTTTCTTTAGTTACAGGCATAGTCCAATATCAATAACTGTGTTTTCTTTAGTTACAGACATAGTCCAATATCAATAGCTGGTTTTTTTTTAGTTACAGGCGTAGTCCAATATCAGTAGCTGTGTTTTCTTCAGTTACAGGCATAGTTCAATATCAGTAGCTGTGTTTTCTGTATTTTACAGGCATTGTCCAATTTGCCCAATGTCAATAGCTGTGTTTTCTTTTTTTTTCAGGCGTAGTCCAATATCAGTAGCTGCAGCGGCCATATACATGGCATCTCAGGGGTCTGCTACGAAAAAATCACAGCAAAGTAAGTCTTTCATGTGTACTGTAATACATGTTTTTTCTTGAGGTTCTAGAACAGCTGAGAAACCTACTTTGATATCGCCTGTCAGAATTTGATGAAACTTAGTGGTAATCATCAGTCTGGTGGATATGAGAACCCGGTGGACGGAGAGGCTGGGTCATAAGGGAACACAAGAGTTTGAAACATTCATTAGTCATATCCTTCAAACTTGCAGGCAGATTTTTCACCAATATTCATAAAATGATCTTAGATGATAAGCATTGGAATCTGTACTCAAGAAGGGTCTGATCCCAAGGGGGGCTATTATAAGGGGCAATGGTGGTCCCAGAGTGCAAGACCTCAAACAATGTCTCTGAAAGTTACTGGTTGATTTACATCAAACTTTCATGAAATCATACTAAGCCCCACATTTGGGGCGACACCTATCTTGTCGGGCTTTTATTAATATGACATTAGATCTGCTCAGTACTGGGCGTATCATTTATAATTTCATTCATGTGACCATAATTGGCCTCTTATTTTTGATCAGCTTCAGATCGTTATTCGAGAAATATTTTCAAGTCCACAAAGATACTTATCCAAATACACTAGACATACACATGTATATTTGTGTATGAACATTGTAGAACATTTGCTTGAATACTATAAATTGAAAAGCTTGATAATAGTTTGTATTATATATTTGTTATAAGTGTAAAGCAGGTAACTTGTTCATGTTGATTTGCCCTTACAGAGATCGGAGAGATTGCTGGAGTGGCAGAGGTGACTATTAGACAATCCTACAAACTCATGTATCCCAAAGCTCCCCTCCTGTTCCCAGACGACTTCAAATTCGCCACATCCATTGCAAATCTGCCAACCTCCTGATCACAGCAGGAGGTTACAGGACATTGGCTGAATAGAGAACAATGAACTCCATGGCCAGGAAGGAAATCACTTACATTTCTTGGACACCAGACGACAAAGAAGCTGGGGTGTATTAGATATAAAAGAATTTGTTTCTTTTGATACATCAAAGTCTGCTTTTTTTTAGTCAAATATCCGAGATAAAAATTTGGGAAGTGTTCCAAGTTTTTCGCATGGCAGTTCAGTCACATTGTTTGAGAAGTTCAGAACACACTTACACCACTAAGTCTGGTGTACCATCAATGTTCGGTGTGATGTGGTGGATAGTTTGTGGTGATTTTTTGAATTATGTGGAATATTCATGATTCATCACCATAACAAACCAATTCTCTTTGGAAACTTTTTTTTTTTTTAGCCCAACATCATCAGATGGCCATGGCAGGCTGTTAAAATCGTCCTTCGATCGTGGTCCATCTGTCTGTCCTTAAACAATTATTGTTTGTGCTATTTCTCAGAAAGTACAGGAGGGATCTGTCTGAAATTTCATTTGTTCATTCCCCATGGTCTCTGGTTATGCATATTGATTTTGAGACTCATTGGAAAAACCAAGATGGCATACGGGCAGTCATCTTGAATTTAGGAGCTAATTTTTTAAGGCTATTTCTCCATAAGTATTGGAGGGATTTTTCTCAAATTTCACATGATGGTCCTAATGTTCCATCATTGTGCATGTTTCATTTTGAAACTGATTGGAAAACAATATGGACACCAGACAGTTTTCTTTAAATTTGACAGTTCAAGCTTGTTATCACATTTCTCAAGAAGTACTCGACAGATCTTTCTCAAATTTGAAATTTAGGTTTCCCTTGTTAAACATAAAGTACTGTGCAAGTAGATGTTAAAACGACAACCTCATTTTAAAAGAATAACATCATACACAGCAGTATGAAGTTTTGATTAGAAAATACCACAAGGTGCATATACTTTTAACATGACTCAATCAAAAAGATGAAAGAAGAGAAAAGATAAATTTTACATAGAACTTATGAATATGGTACAATTGGGAGTGCCAAAATCCCAAGGATTTGTGGGTTTGTTTTACTATTTATTCCACAGCACTTCTTGATCGTGTGATAAAAATGATCACTTCTTTGTTTCCATTTTATGCAAGAGGCTCTTTAAATGAAGAAATCTTAGAATCATTTTCTCAATCTCATATGAAATGTCAACTTGTGTAAGATTTTGTATAATAAAAGTGATTAAAAATTATGCCATAAAATAATTAAAAACCTACAGGTACTATAAAATGTTAAATGTATATTTTGTGCGATATGGACAGACATCAAATTTACATTACCGGGGTACTTCAGTAATATTTGTACTGTACAATAAAATGTTAATTGTTTTAACTTTTGATCAGTTAACAATACTGTTATTATTGGAAAGAAATCCTAGAAATAAAATGTATTATTTTATTGTATGCAAGTCATTCCACTGTCATATTTTGTGTTATTTTTATCTGAGGGCCACAGGACTGGTTATATATAATCTAATAAATGTACGAAAATTTCAATAAGACTTTCTTTTTTATTAGCTCACCTGGTTCGAAGGACCAAGGTGAGCTATGCCATACTGTGGCGTCCGTCGTCCGTACATTTACGTCAACAATTTCTTCAAACGCCGCCTTCTTCTTAACCACTGATTGGAATTTAACTAAATTTGACTGGAAGCATCCCTAGGTGGTGGGGATTCAAAATTGTACAAATGGTAGGGTTAACCCCCCAGGGGGCTGAGGGGCGGGGTCGAAAGGGGACAATTTGGCTATATTGCTATAAACGACTTCTGTAGAACTGTGGTATGGATATCAACCATATTTGGTCAGAAGCATTCATGGGAGGCGGGGTTTAAAAATTGTACAAATAGTTGGGCTCACCCCCCAGGGGCGGGGCCAAAAGGGGACAATTTGGCTATATTGCTATAAACAACTGTGCAATAGATATCAACCATATTTTACTGGAAGCATCCCTAGGTAGTGGGGATTCAAAATTGTACAAATGGTTGGGCCGAGGCGCGGGGCTAAAAAGGAGCGACTTCTTCTCTACAACTAAAAGATGGACATCAACCATATTTGACTGGAAGCATCCCTAGGTAGTGGGGATTCAAAATTGTACAAATGGTGGGGCTGACCCTTCAGGAGGCTAAGGGGCGGGGCCAAAAGGGATCAATTTGGCTATATTGTTTTAAGTGACTTTACCTCTGGAACTAAGAGATCGATACCAACCATATTTTACTGGAAGCATCCCAAGGTAGTGGGGATTCAAAATTGTACAAATGGTGGGGCTGACTCCCAAGGGGGCTGAGGGGTGGGGCCAAAAAGGGACAATTTGGCTATATTGTTTTAAGTGACTTTACCTCTGGAACAAAGAGATCGATACCAACCATATTTTACTGGAAGCATCCCAAAGTAGTTGGGATTCAAAACTGTACAAATGGTGGGGCTGACTCCCAAGGGGGCTGAGGGGTGGGGCCAAAAGGGGTTATTTTGCTATATTGTTTTAGGCGCTTCTCTACAACTAAGATGGACATCAACCATATTCAACTGGAAGCATCCCTAGGTAATAGGGATTCAAAATTGTACAAATGGCGGGGCCAAAAGTTAGACAGTGATTCCTAGGTTTACGTGTTTGAACAGNCATATTTGGTCAGAAGCATTCATGGGAGGCGGGGATTAAAAATTGTACAAATGGTTGGGCTGAACCCCAAGGGGGCTAAGGGGCGGGGCTACTAAGGGTTATTTGGCTATATTGCTTTAAGCGACATCTTCTCTACAACTAAAAGATGGACATCAACCATATTTGACTGGAAGCATCCCTAGGTAGTGGGGATTCAAAATTGTACAAATGGTGGGGCTGACCCTTCAGGAGGCTAAGGGGTGGGGCCAAAAGGGATCAATATGGCTATATTGTTTTAAGTGACTTTACCTCTGGAACTAAGAGATTGATACCAACCATATTTTACTGGAAACATCCCAAGGTAGTGGGGATTCAAAATTGTACAAATTGTGGGGCTGAGGGGCGGGGCCAAAAAGGGTTATTTTGCATATTGCTTTAGGCGACTTCTTCTCTACAACTAAGATGGACATCAACTATATTCGACAGGAAGCATCCCTAGGTAATGGGGATTCAAAATTGTACAAATGGTGGGGCAGACCCCCCAGGGGGCTGAGGGGCGGGGCCAAAAGTTAAACAGCGATTCCTAGGTTTACGTGTTGAACAGTGATTCCTAGGTTTACGCGTTTGAACAGTGATTCCTAGGTTCACTCTATTGAACAGTAATTCCTAGGTTTATGTATTTGAACAATTAAACAAGAAGCCCAATGGGCATGCATTGCTCACCTTGTATTAATCTCACAATTGTAACCTTAAAAGAGGACTAAAATAAAGCTACAGGCAAAATATCAGCGTCTTGACTTAAAGTTTAAAGTAATTCAGAAAAAATGGGCAAAGGTCATCCATTTGAACAAACTTGGTAGCCCTTCATCCCAGCATGTTACTGGCCAAATATCATCACCCTAGGCCTCTCGGTTATTCAGGAGAAGTCGTTTAAAGGTTTTAAACATATTTGACCCCAGTGACCTTGAATATAAATCAAGCTAATTTATTTGAACAAACTTGGTAGCCCTTCATCCAAGCATATAACTGGCCAAATATCATCACCCTAGACCTCTTGGTTATTCAGAAGAAGTTGTTTAAAGATTTCAACATATTTGACCCCTGTGACCTTGAAAATGGTTGAAGGTCATTTATTTGAACAAACTTGGTAGCCCTTCATCCCAGCATGCTTCTGGCCAAATATCATTACCCTAGCCCTTTTGGTTACTGAGAAGAAGTTGTTAAAAGTAAAAACATGACGCCGGGCGGACGACGGACGCTGCACCATGCCATACGCTCACTTGGCCCTTCAGGCCATGTGAGCTAACAATGTACCCGTAATGAAATAAACAACACATTTGTAACTTTATTAGACCGCTACAGGAAGATTTGCTATACTGTATTTGGAAATGAACATGATTTTTATATCAAAACAGTTATACATTTGTATAGTGAATCATCAGTATTTATCAGTCGGTCCAGCTTGGTCATTTCACGATAGAACATACAATTCTCAGGAGATGACAAAATTACTGAAACTAAGCTGAATATAAGCCAGAGACTAAGTAGGGTTATAGAAATCGATGGTACAACAAGATTATCACCTTCCTGTAAATTTTATTTACGTCACATCATCAACAGTCATACATGAGAACGAGACCACATTTAACAATAATGTCGTCAACAAGGAAACAAACATTTAAACATGAGCTGAAGATAATGAATAGTAGATTACTGAAAATATCCAAGTTAAGGAATGGCATCTACATAAATGTTCTGATCAGAGGTAAAGAGTATCATTTTCAGTATACCCAAATGACTACCAAGCAGTAGTTGTTCCCANGGCTGAAGATAATGAATAGTAAATTACTGAAAATATCCAAGTTAAGGAATGGCATCTACATAAATGTTCTGATCAGAGGTAAAGAGTATCATTTTCAGTATACCCAAATGACTACCAAGCAGTAGTTGTTCCCACCGAGTATGCCAACAAATTTACAATGTAATTTCTGTTACAAACTATGAATTTTAGTTTACAGTGTCTCCATTAAAACCTGTATGAAAGACAAAATCTTCTTTTTTCTGAATAATGATTAAGCAATATAATGATTTTACTTAGGAACAACAGCCTTCACACATGTCACCACCAAGTGGCATTACAGACGCTACAAAATGTCATGTATATCTTTCCCATCCTTTCTCTCTATACTAACACTTGACTTATGTATATCTTCGTTTATCAAACTCATCATTAAAATCCTCCTCTGAATCCGCCTCCACCAAATCCTCCCCCTCCTCGGGGACCGCCTCGGAATCCACCTCCACCACGGAATCCGCCATATCCACCCCCTCCTTTATAGCCACCTCCTCGACCCCCTCCATATCCTCCACCTCCTCGACCCCGAAATCCTCCCCTGAAACCACCACCACCAAATCCTCCACCGCGCCCTCCAAATCCACCTCCACGTCCACCAAATCCACCACCCATTCGCTGAAACTTTGATGATGGTCCACCAGGTTGACTGTCAATGTATAGAACACAAAAAGATGTACAAGTATTTCAATACGGTATTTGTCAGTAATTTCTAAATGGTAAGATTCTATAACCTACAATAAAACAAGTCCTGACTATCTACTGACTTACATGCAATATCTACAGGCAGTTACTGCATGCTTTACAAGAGGACATTCTGAAATTCCTATTCCACATCAGTCTAACAACAAAGCTTTTAACATTTCCACCTAGGATTTAAAATTCTTCTACCTACCCTGCTATCTACTCACCCCATATCATCCTGTTGGCCGAATTTTCCTGCACGTGGCTTGGAGAGTGCCCTGATGACAGACAACAGTGACTCTTCCTGGGGACTAGGAGTTCCTACTCCCTCGGGGTTTGATGTGGTCCTCACAATCATGGCCTCTAGGGCTGGTCGCAGGGCCACTATCTTGGCTGCAGCATTGTAGGCCATCTTAAGGTTAATCCTGTGGATGGACATTTAGTGTTCAATCAAGTGTTCTTCACAAAAATATTAACTTTTATGGTAATTTGAAGTAGATCATTATCTAAGAATAGGTCAAATTTTATTTGAAAATAAGTTACATTGCACATTTAATTACAAACATACTAAATTCCACACTTCCTGGTTATTGGTATCAGTAGAGTATTTATAGTGTGAGAGGGCGTTTGACATGCTACACTGACCAAAAGTCAGATAGTTTATGCTTTGAAAACGCAAAGAGAGACTAAGTTGTTCGTTCAGGTTAATGCTTGCAATTAACAGTTAATCCTTTTGTTGATTTCATACAGTTTATTTGTAACATTCAATGCTAGCTGCTACTCATATTATTTCTTAAACAATCTTTAAGTGACAATTCAATTTCTGTCATTTTTCATTCCGTTACATATGCTTGTCTAATTTATACATGTTTTCAAAAACAGAAATGGTATTATTTTGGTTTTTAAGCTCATTTTGAAAACAGCAAACTATATTTGTGATTTACCTTACGCCTTTTGGTACCCCCAGAAACCCACTTTCGGTCAAAGTTTTCCCTTAGTTTTTCAGCATGTCATACAATAGGACATCTTTGAACAAAATAAGGAGGTGAAAATCTGAATATACCGGGGCCCAAAAAAAGGGCCTTATAGACACCCTTCGTTTAATGTTTGAACAAAAATAAATCAAAACCACATAAATAGCATGTCATTTGTGGCTTATGTGTTCCCAAATACTAAAATTGTGTATAGGCAAAAGAAAATAAATTACTGGGTCATCAGGCCTACATGCATTCACTTTTAGATACATTTACTGCTTTGCCAATTTTATCGTAAAAATAAAGATGTTTGACATGTGTGTACAAAACATACATATTTTAAGCATCATTACAATCCTGTAATCATGTGTTTGTAATGGAGGTGAACTAATGACACAACGGAGACTGACTGACAAAATCAGCACGTAAAAACAAGCAGAACCTTTAATCATCGTCACACATGGCTTTGTCAAATTCATTGTGTAAAGATACATCACATACACTATACAGCAGCAAGCTGTGTACTTACCAGTTGTCCAGAGTTATGAGATCTTCATGGTAGGTGACTGAGCGAGAAGCAAACAACAGTAGCTGGAGAGGTGATACCATTGTCATCTGTTTGCATGACACAGCTCGTGTCCGGATCTGCAACATTCACGATCTCATGTAAATACACAAGTCACAATATCAAGATAAACCCCAATCATTATTATCACTTTGTATCGGGAACAGACCGTTATTGTTGTAAGGATGATAGAGAAATATCTCATTTCTAATAACAAAGTATTTCTAATAACAAAGTAAACAATCTGAAGGAAATTCCTTACCTTCTCTCCAAAGATGAAGTAGGGAGATGGGAACCTGCACTCAAAGTTGTTACAGTTGACGGAGGACTTGTGGACTAGGGCAGCCCTACTCTCTGTGGTCAGTACCTTCCTCTTGTCCTTGTGGAAGCAGACATTGGGGTACAGACCCATACACAGTAGAGTGACCACCTTTAACAAAGCAAGTCAGTTTGTTACACTTGTAATAATGTGTGTAAGCCAAATCTTGGGATCTAATTGACAAGAATTCTCTTAAATTCAGTTCTTGTAATGTTAAGAAAGGGTACATTCGCATATCCGGTTGAAACGGTTGAACCTGTAAAGAAAATGACAGACACAGATCTGAACCGAGGCTGACCTCAGGAAAATTCGGCACGTGTAGATTGAGGGGTCCAGACGTACCCAACAGAAACTAAAATGCTGACTATTGCTAGTTTGCGTTATTTCTTTCAAAAAAAACGTCAAGTCACATGTAGTTTTTAAGATACGTTATGTAATTCATTGGATGGATGAAAGAAGAGCATAATATTCTTGATACATTGTATTTTATTCTCCGAAACTGTGCATTTTTGGCTCTGCTTATAAAACGGTCCATGTGTGTTCGTTTATCGTGGAATATTCTGCGCCACACGTACCGTTTCAACCGGGAACGCAAATGTAGCCTAAGTACAAATTGATTGAAAACAATTATCTATTTTTCATCATTTCTATTATTCTAATATCTTGAAGTTTAAATCAGGTATCGCAATCGACTGGTCTGGTGAAAGAGCATACAACCTGTATCTTGTCGACCAATACCTAGTTCACTCTCTGAACTTTTTTCTCCTCTGAAAATGAATTTCGTTGTATTGTTCCACATGTACATCTTTTTGAATGTTAACATTTCCAGATCTAAATGTTAACATTTAAGTGATCTGACAGAAGAGTTGAGAAATCTGTTTAAGTGATCAAGATTTTCTGCAAATAGTAGAAGCAGTTAGTGACCATGTCCTTGCAGCACCTTGAAACACAAACATGTTCAAAGTATTGCCATTCTTGACAAATCAATTAAGTTTAATCAATAACCACTAAGAAACAAGGAAAAGTATTGCAAGGCAATCAATAGTCTTCCACTAGTAATGACTTCTTTATTTACCGAGGTCAAAGGTCAAATCTTAGGTCACAGTGACCTACTTTTTGTACTTAGCACTCTGCAATCTGAAGATCTGATGAAATAGTGTATGCAATATGCCCTGTATAAGCTTAAGTCCCCCTGGGAACTGGTGAGGAACTAATTAAGCAATTTAGAATTATGAAATGGTGCAACTACAAGAAGTTTTAACTTTTATTCATGACCTTGAATGCCATTACGTTCATCCTCTTGCCATGCCCAATCACTGTACATGTATTAAGTTTACATGGGATTGTTGGTCATTTTCACATAGTGATGGACTGTTAAACAGCACCATCATCATCATCATCTAGTGTTTGACAACCACTACAGAAGCTAAGTGGTCAAATGTATTTATATAAGGTTGGAGACAAACCATATCGAGGTTGCTGTCTGGTCCATTATAGTTGTACACCTGAGGTAGTAGACATTCCTCTGGGAATCCAGAGTTGATGAGGATATCTCGCAGCTGACACTGCAAAACACAGCACATCAACATGTAGTATCTTGAGAAAAGATATTGTGAATTGACGCATAGAAAAGATTGATATACCCGTACAGCATAATGATAAAAATATTATTGATATTTTTCGCTTTAAAAAATTGATATCCAAAATCTTCAAAATAGTTTCGTATTACAGAAAACTGAAAATTTCTAAAAATCTTACATGTCTTACCACCTAGAAACTAATCCATCTCTTCAGACAGAGTCATTACAATATTAATATCTATCAACAGATGTCTTGTATTCCGACAGTCAGGTTCTGGTCCCTGGCTTATAAGAATCTTTCAATATATGCTCTCAAGAATCTAGCGCATCTCTCATTATACACACCATCTGTTAACTTACCTTTGCCTCCGAGGTCATTCTGAGTGTAGGCATAGACAGAGACTTCTGTTCACAGAAATAGATCTCATTCTGTTCTCCACCCATCCTGTAAATATAATGTTAACTCTACAGTACCTTTATACAACAATGTTTCTACAGTAGCTTTATACAACATTGTTTCTACAGTAGCTTTATACAACATTGTTTCTACTGTAGCTTTATACAACATTGTTTCTACAGTAGCTTTATACAACATTGTTTCTACAGTAGCTTTATACAACATTGTTTCTACAGCAGCTTTATACAACATTGTTTCTACTGTACCATTATACAACATTGTTTCTACGGTAGCTTTATACAACATTGTTTCTACAGTAGCTTTATACAACATTGATTCTATTGTACCTTTACATAAATCACGTTTTGTGCTTCCTTTTATGTTTGGTTCTTTTAAAAATGTAAACATATATACACACTATACAGTATACTAAATGCTAAGTTTGTTTTGAACACAAACAGAAATTGAAAACTTCAAAACAAACTTAGCATTTATTGTTCATACCAAAGTGATGAATCTCATTCCGAATATATAGATAACCACCTCTGAAAGCTGTAAGTTGTATGTAAATATTTGGTGTACTTTATTCAATAGTTTGTGTGAACAATTTAATTCTATTAACACCGTAAGGAAGTCATTTGAGCATTTTTTTTAATAGACATTCTTTAACACAGTTTTATGAAAAAATCAAAAATTGAATTCCATTTTCTATCCTTACTGCAATGCATCAATCAATGTTGGATGCCTCGGGAACCTCAATGTCCAATATTAGCATTCAAGTACAAATGCTGCATGCTATGAATTTCAATACCTAAAACAAAAATTAAATCAATGCCAAGGTGGATAAAGATGCATCAGGGCTCTATATTCTAGAAATCCTGAATTTTATTATCCCAAGTTATCCCATTCAGACAGTAGACGCCTTGTACAACTTGTACACTTAACCGGCCTCTTTAAGATAAAACAGGTGAGAGTCATGTGTTTACTACACCTGTACACTTACCTGGCCTCCTTCCACAGATTTAAAGTGTTAAGGACTGCCACATGGTCACTACACCTGTAAACTTACCTGGCCTCCTCCCATAGATTTGAAGTGTTAAGGAGTGCCACATGGTCACACCACCTGTACACTTACCTGGACTCCTCCCCAAGATTTAAAGTGTTAAGGACTGCCACATGGTCACTACACCCGTACACTTACCTGGCCTCCTTCCACAGATTGAAAGCGTTAAGGAGAGCCACAAGGTCACTACACCTGTACACTTCCCTGGCCTCCTTCCACAGATTGAAAGCGTTAAGGAGTGCCACATGGGCACAACACCTGTACACTTACCTGACCTCCTCCCACAGATTTAAAGAGTTAAGAAGTGCCATATGGTCACTACACCTGTACACTTCCCTGGCCTCCTCCCACAGATTGAAAGCGTTAAGGAGAGCCACAAGGTCACTACACCTGTACACTTACCTGGACTCCTCCCCAAGATTTAAAGTGTTAAGGAGCGCCACATGGTCACTACACCCGTACACTTACCTGGCCTCCTCCCACAGGTTTAAAGCGTTAAGGAGTGTCACATGGTCACTACACCTGTAAACTTACCTGGCCTCCTCCCACAAATTTAAGGCGTTAAGGAGTGACACATGGTCACTACACCTGTTGCCAGCAAGGGACTTGTGGACCCAACCCAATCTGCGTCGGTCTGTGGGAGTAATGAACGGCTCTGGGAAAGTTGTACTGCCTGTACACTTACCTGGCCTCCTAACACAGATTTAAAGAGTTAAGAAGTGCCATATGGTCACTACACCTGTACACTTACCTTGCCTCCTTCCACAGATTTAAAGCGTTAAGGAGTGTCACATGGTCACTACACCTGTTGCCAGCAAGGGACGTGTGGACCCAACCCAATCTGCGTCGGTCTGTGGGAGTAATCAAAGGCTCTGGGAAAGTTGTACTGCCTGTACACTTACCTGGCCTCCTAACACAGATTTAAAGAGTTAAGGAGTGCCACATGGGCACTACACCTGTACACTTACCTAGCCTCCTCCCACAGATTGAAAGTGTTAAGGAGTGCCCCATGGTCACTACACCTGTAAACTTACCTGGCCTCCTCCCATAGATTTGAAGTGTTAAGGAGTGCCACAAGGTCACTACACCTGTACACATACCTGGCCTCCTCCCACAAATTTAAGGCGTTAAGGAGTACCACATGGTCACTACACCTGTTGCCAGCAAGGGATTTGTGGACCCAACCCAATCTGCGTCGGTCTGTGGGAGTAATCAAAGGCTCTGGGAAAGTTGTACTGGCCGCTATAGTACATACTTAAGGAGTGCCACATGGTCACACCACCTGTACACTTACCTGGCCTCCTCCGACAGATTGAAAGCGTTAAGGAGTGCCACAAGGTCACTACCCCTGTACACTTACCTGGCCTCCTTCCACAGATTTAAAGTGTTAAGGAGTGCCACAAGGTCACTACCCCTGTACACTTACCTGGCCTCCTTCCGCAGATTTAAAGCGTTAAGGAGTGCCACAAGGTCACTACCCCTGTACACTTACCTGGCCTCCTAACACAGATTTAAAGAGTTAAGAAGTGCCATATGGTCACTACACCTGTACACTTACATAGCCTCCTAACACAGATTTAAAGAGTTAAGAAGTGCCATATGGTCACTACACCTGTACATTTACCTGGCCTCCTTCCACAGATTGAAAGCGTTAAGGAGAGCCACAAGGTCACTACACCTGTACACTTACCTGACCTCCTCCCACAGATTTAAAGTGTTAAGGAGCGCCACATGGTCACTACACCCGTACACTTACCTGGCCTCCTTCCACAGATTTAAAGCGTTAAGGAGTGCCACATGGGCACTACATCTGTACACTTACCTGGCCTCCTTCCGCAGATTTAAAGCGTTAAGGAGTGCCACAAGGTCACTGCACCTGTACACTTACCTGGACTCCTCCCCAAGATTTAAAGTGTTAAGGACTGCCACATGGTCACTACACCTGTACATTTACCTGGCCTCCTTCCACAGATTTTAAGCGTTAAGGAGTGCCACATGGTCTCTACACCTGTACACTTACCTTGCCTCCTTCCACAGATTTAAAGTGTTAAGGACTGCCACATGGTCACTACACCCGTACACTTACCTGGCCTCCTAACACAGATTTAAAGAGTTAAGGAGGGCCACATGGTCACTGCACCTGTACACTTACCTGGCCTCCTCCGACAGATTGAAAGCGTTAAGGAGTGCCACATGGGCACTACATCTGTACACTTACCTGGCCTCCTCCCATAGATTTAAAGTGTTAAGGAGTGCCCCATGGTCACTACACCTGTAAACTTACCTGGCCTCCTCCCACAAATTTAAGGCGTTAAGGAGTGACACATGGTCACTACACCTGTAAACTTACCTGGCCTCCTCCCACAGGTTTAAAGCGTTAAGGAGTGCCACATGGTCTCTACACCTGTACACTTACCTAGCCTCCTCCCACAGATTGAAAGCGTTAAGGAGAGCCACAAGGTCACTACACCTGTACACTTCCCTGGCCTCCTCCCACAGATTGAAAGCGTTAAGGAGTGCCACATGGTCACTACACCTGTTGCCAGCAAGGGACTTGTGGACCCAACCCAATCTGCGTCGGTCTGTGGGAGTAATGAACGGCTCTGGGAAAGTTGTACTGGCCGCTATAGTACATACAGCATCTCCACAGCTAAAAACATATTATTATGCCTTATTCATAAGGTATTTTTAATAGAGCAAGAAGTTTGTACACTATAAAGCCTCTAATATAATATTTTATTTACTTTAATTTCCCATTCAACCATCATGTTTAACAAGTTTAAAATACATAAAGACATAAACATTGAAAGAAGTAATCTAAAGTAACCGTTGAGCCAAAATTTGAACTTCAGTTAGCTCTAATAAGCTCTGTCTTGGTTACAATGTAAGTATCACCTCCACACCCCTGGTTACAATGTAAGTGTCACCTTCACACCCCTGGTTACAAATTAAGTGTCACCTCCACACCCCTGGTTACATATGTAAGTGTCACCTTCACACCCCTGGTTACAATGTAAGTGTCACCTTCACACCCCTGGTTACAATGTAAGTGTCACCTTCACACCCCTGGTTACAAATGTAAGTGTCACCTTCACACCCCTGGTTACAAATTAAGTGTCACCTCCACACCCCTGGTTACAACTTAAGTGTCACCTCCACACCCCTGGTTACAATGTAAGTGTCACCTTCACACCCCTGGTTACAAATGTAAGTGTCACCTTCACACCCCTGGTTACAAATGTAAGTGTCACCTTCACACCCCTGGTTACAATGTAAGTGTCACCTTCACACCCCTGGTTACAAATGTAAGTGTCACCTTCACACCCCTGGTTACAAATT